ATATAAATTATGCTGATAAAATAAGAGACGTTTTCGAACAAAAATATGCTGATTATGCATGACAACAAAATTTGAAATTCATAAACTGCCAACAAATACATCTAACCAATAAAGTAAAATACTATTTTCATCACTATCAGTTGTTTAATCTTTTACTAAAATAGATAACACCAAATACACAAAAGATCATATTTTCTGTCGATTTTAACTAGTAACACTGGCCAGGTCAAATCGGAAGTTAAACATTTCATAACTTTATTCGAAAAAATAACACGCGTTTGGTACAGAAACACTTACGTAAGTACGCCTGGCCAAGTACGACCATCACATGTGCTTACCTAATTGCTGTTGCTGTTTGATTTAGTTGGCGGCCTATCCATCATTGCCTACACTGCAACACACGGTGATTACAAAACCCACCAAGTAATTGACTCGCCTAATATACGATCAATTACCTTGCCGCACACGTTTTATAATGGCTGTAGTCGCCGTTAACATTCTCTCGTGATTGTTTCCCTAGAGTGGAGTTCGTTTTACTTTGGGTCTAAATTGTCAGAAATACTGTGTTTTTATAGGAAACAGTCGATAATTTTTCTTGGATAATTTTTTTTCTTGGCGTCTTTTGGAAAATGATTAATTTCAAGAACACAATAGCTTGGTTAGTTAAATATATTTACAGTCCTCGTTAATACAGCCACTGATTGTTTCATGAATTTGCAGATTTGCAAGAAGATCCCTAAAGTAAAATTTTATACATACACACCAGACTATCAGTTTTAAAAGTCAAATTTCCATTAAAATTCCATTAAAATATAACTAGAACATATTGGGTAAGGTAAAAATAAAGTAGTCAAAGACGTGTTCAAGGCTTTTTTTGACTATTTTGTCAGTATTATTGTTCGTATGTTTTTTAAATAAAAAAGAACAAAACTACACGCAAGAACAGAGTTTCAATAATACAAATAAAAGTGCAATTTTACTTAATCATTTCTATAGTGCCACCAACCACAACAATATAATCACATTGCCTATAACATCAATAACATAGATTTGTAATAAAAATTTCAAAAAACCACAAATCAATCTAAATATCTAATGGTGCACGAACCCATAAAACAAAAACAGATTGACAACATCAGTGTGAGAAGATGATAGTTGTTTGTTGGTGGTTAGGGTTGGGAGAGGGGCAAGAATGAAGGGTTTACAAGAAAGGAGGGGGGGGGGGAGGTAATAGGAAACAGAACACGTCCGTCCGGCGACCGAGCGACCCAATGAAGAAAAGTGGTGTTTTGGGTGGAAAAAGGATTGGCCGGGGGAAGTTTTTCATTCGACTAATTCCAGTTTCTTTCCCTAAGTGATTACCACTTTAAAAGGCCGAGTAACCCAGACTTGTCGCGATTGACTCGTCCCATTTGGAGATTATTTGGCGCGAACCACACATCGTTACGATTCTTACCAACTCGTGGCCTTGATTTGTTGCTGTTACTGGTGTCACGCCACTATTTTTTTCTCGTAAAATACGTGATTTTAAATCAGAAATATTGCAAACAGTTTCTAGACAGAATGTTGTGATTTGGAAATTGTTTTAATACAATGATTTCATGTCATTTAAATGGCATCGTCATTTATCATGGTTAGCTAATCGATATCATTGTTGTATCACCTCTACTGCTGTATTCAATTTAGGAGGCTAGATATCTAAAAAATTGCAATAGAAGAACAGTGAACAGTGATAAGATATGGTGGGAATTGTTTATCTTCATAGTAAAAAAGGACCTGCTGTTAATTCGTCGTTTACGTAAATGCAATTGGTATACAAAGATCTTTTTCACCACACTATGATGTTTTTGGCTGTATACGTTAATTGGAGGCTGAAAGTTACGTTTTGCTGGCCATGCCAGCTGTCGCCAATTTGGGGACCGAGCAGGTTTTTACAGGCCGGGGCCGCAAAATCAGCTGTCCGCTTACTTACTTAAAACATGAATGCGTTTGAAATACACAATCAAAATCCATAGCATTGCAATATAGAATTGTGTTATTGTCACCGTTGCCTAGCAACTATTTTTTTATATTTTTGCTGATTCCTCAAATTATTTCTTCACATAACCTTAAAGTTGTAGTTGTGTTTACGATCAGTGTACGCATTATTATAGTGGTGAATAGTGGTAGGCCTAATAGGGTATAGTGTGGTGAAAAATATCGTTCGTACCACGGACCGAAATGGTTTTGCAGCTCTCGATCGATTTAAGTTCTCGACTTCGTCTCGAACTTAAAAACTATCTCGAGCCGGCAAAACCTCATTTTCGGCCCTAGGTACGAAATATACTATTACAAGATGTTTTCAAAAACTTAACAATGATGTTTGTTGTCTTTCAAAGACTATGTTTGATTAATAGAGGTATTAGGTAAATAAAACTTCCAATAAAATAAATTTAATTTGTCGATCTTTGATCCAATCGTAACAACTAATATTCTTGTAGAAAATTTATACTTTTGTTGTTAAGAAGTAGGCCTATACAATATCGTCTTCCTACGACTACAAAACAATGTTAGATTTCATTAATTAGTTTGTATCAATGATTCCTACGTTTAAACTGCTTCGCCAACGCCAACATGCACAATGCACCTCAGCATCTGACATTGTCGATGAATCAAGCCTTCTTACTGCCTACTGCCTACACGTATGATGCGAGAAACGATCAAGTGGAGAACGTCTCTATGTTGGTAATATTGAATTGAAAGATATATCACGGACGTTGGAATTGTTAGTATGTGTGCGCGAGACAAGTATAAAATGATAGAACTTAGTGTATACCTTCTATGTATTACCTCCTGTCTTTGGAAGAGAATATTTACACTCAAGGATGCATGAAACTATTACATCACCGTATATGTGGCTTTCAGTTTTAACTTATACCAATGATACACTTAAACTGACAAAGGCTAAAATAACAAAAAACACATTGTGCTAAAGCAAAACTAAGCATTACATAACCGATGACCAAAAGGTGAGATACATTCCTTTAATGTTGACCAGTCGATGTAGGGACAGCCTACAATCCATATTCATACATGAAACACAATCTTAGCCTCGACATATCAAGATCTCTAGTTACATTGAATGCATTTCTCTGTATGCCACTTTGAACTGCACCAGTGTGGAAACTACATCGAAATGTACTTAGTAATTTTAATGCGTTTAGAAATCAAGGTGATTACGTTTATGAATTATTTATGCCGACTAAACGATTCTTATTTAAATAGTCTTTTATACCTCAGATAATTACTTATGAATTATGCATGTGACGAAACTCGTCAGTACAACCATAAATGTTGGAGAAAAACGCGCATTCTGATGTGCGTTTTCTATCAGACGGTTTTGAGGTTATGGGAAACTTACGACCGTAAATTTACGAGACCGAAAAAGCGGAAAGATTTCGGCTGATAGCTTGGGTTCGTGGATGTGCGTTTAAGTGGGAGAACTTGTGTTGAATTACATAAAAATAACCGTATGTGAACTGTTAGGGTGTAATTAATGTTAGGGTGTAGGATGTAATGTTAAAAGGGTGTTAGGGTGTAATCGTGATGGTGGACGTTTCTTGTGAAGTATTTACAACTTTTCAATTTAGAGACAACATTTATGATTCAACCTTTTTATGTATCTCTAGTTCCTTGCCTCAAATGTACGAAAAATGCTGAGACGAATCTTGAATGTCATTTTGATATATACAGGGTGACAAAAATGTCTGGAAACGGCTCGATATCTTTTTAACTAAATTCGTTAGACAATTCAAACCTTTCACATCATTTTATATGTATGAAAACTACTTTTAGCAAGCATTAGCATTTTTTTACCTTCACCAGGGGACGGCTCATGAGGAGTAGGTACATAATCTTTAATGTAAGCATAGGTTTATATGCACGTCGTTTTAAAGTTCTGGTCAAATGGAGTTCATTGCCGGAAACCACGACAAAAAAGGTTCATCCGTTACAAAATGGCGGTAGTCCAAAGTTCTTGCGGGATATACCTGCAGAGGCCTTAGTATTGGTAAATACTCATAGTCAACATTAGCCGGGAAATCTGAAACCCGATTAAATTTGTTTTGAAGATTGAATAATATTAGTCTATGAGCTAGTTGACTTTAAAATACAGTTTTAGCTCTCTAGCTAATGTTTAATACGAGTATTTACCAATACTAAGGCCTGTGCAGGTATATTCAACAAGAACTTTGGACAGCCGCCATTTTGTAATGGATGAACTTTTTGAGACGTGGTTTCCGGTAATGAACTCCACTTAACTAGCCCTGTAAAATGATGTGCATATCAACCTATGCTTACATTAAAGATTATCTACCTACTCCTCATGGGTCGTCCCCAGGTAGAGGTAAAAAAATGATAATACTTGGAAAAAGTAGTTTTCATACATGTAGGTTTATGTGAAAGGTTTGAATTTTCTAACGGATTTAGTTAAAAAGATATTACACCGTTTCCAGACTTTTTTTCCACCCTGTATATTACTGTAGAGCAATTTATTTCTTAGCACAACAACCCTGATGTTTGATTGCTGTTTCAACTAATCAAAATCAATTTGAGCCTTTTTAGTCTCTTATAATTTTTGTTCGTAATGTGTATACATTTACCCTAGTAAGGTGAGATACTATTGCAGTTGTAAACAATTAGTTTATACATTTTGTAAATCTATATTTCGAATTATTACTCTATTTTTACCCTTATCTAGTCTAGGGTTGGCTTTTTATGAGAGATAGGTCTTTTATAACCATTTACAAACAAATGTTTCTGTTTGATGTTTTAATGTGTTTATGAATCTATAGTTTCCTTCACTATTAAAATTGTCAATCCATATTCCAATCTCTACCACAATTTGTTTATAATATTTAAGGTTACTCAGAGGTGTTACTTACACGGGGACCTGTGTTATCATAAGCCGAAGGCATTTATCAGTTTCCATCCTAAGTTAAAAGTTATCTGCCTAGGCCTACCTTGGTTTCAGTCGCGACTCCTCCTAGGTCGTCCCACCTTGCCTTTGCGGACCCCCGTGGTGCCTGCGGTCACCGCCGACCCCTTCAGCAGCTTATGCCAGTCCTGTTCACAGACCAGGCTGCCGGCCAGTAGGTAGTACCTGGAGCAAATAGTCCACATGTCACAGTAGCAACCAACAAAACATCTCATTCTAGTTCAAAGGCATAGTAGTTGTTTTTCAAACCCTAACAACGCCCTTCTGGTAATTTAAAACTCTTGAATGCAAGGTATAGTTGTAAAACGAATTTGAACTATTCACTGAGTTCGAGATAGTACTGATGTTAGAATTTGGGTTTCCAGTAAAATGTATGTCTTTGTCAAAGACTTAATGAAATTGTCAAGTTACAATCGGCTTGCTCTATATAATCCAGTTTTCTTTACATTCAAATGAGCGATTCAAATGAAAAACAAAAAGGAGGCTTCCATGCCTGTGTTAACAGTTTATTCTGTTGAGACACTATGGAATTTGCAGAAAATTCTATTATCTTTTATTTTTTCCCAAATACTAAAGCAAATTGGAAATGTTTCCATAGATGGGTCGTGACGTAGGCCTATTACAATTCTATTACGTAACATAATTTGTGCACTATGGTCTTCAAGGGAAAATTCTGGTATAACAAATTCAATTCCTAATGAAATAAATGAAATAATCTAAATATATTAAATGTCTGGTATTTGAATAACTACTACTTAGTTAGTCGATTTCATCGGGAGTACCCAAGGTCGACCACGAAATTCCCACTTACTCATCTATAGACTCTCCATGCCAACATGGAACCAAAGTCATGGCCAACAGGAAGCTGTATTATACAGGAAACACTATGAAAACTATTACTCAGAAGTAAATGTCACTTACCTGTCACCCTGTACTAGTTGCGCCCCGCACTTACTGCAGGCGAAGCACTTGAGGTGGAACACGTGGTGCGGTGGCGCCCCTGGCTGCTGGGGGGCGCTGGTGGCGCCGGGAGCCCCTGCCCTCATCACGAACTCGCTGGCAGGGATGGTGTGTCCACACGCTGAGCAGGCGCCTGTGTTGCCGAACAACCTGCGAAATTAACACCAGATTAGAACATGTAAATTAAAATAGAGTCTTGGGAGAACACTCTTGTCGCTATTTTAAGAAAAAGGTGGCTACCGTGTCGTATTTTCACCCAAATATGAACAGGAGATGAATTGAGTAAAATATCTGATGTAACTTTGTTACTGACCAAGATTTACCACCATTCATAAAGTGTTTAAAATATCAATCCAGGTATGACAGCTAGGTTTAATTTTTAAGATGCAAAATCTCCTGATTTGTTTCTAGGACCGTAATAGTGGTTTTCAGATTACGTGGTGAAAACTGTAGCAACTTAACTACTCAGCTTATAGCAGTCTGAATATCTGTCGACATTAAAATGAGTGATTAAATGACAACGGTGAATTATTATTTCAAAAAAGTATAAGAACCCTTTATGAATAAAATATATAAGCTAATTAAGACATTATGCACCACTATTACCAAAAACGTGATATCCACTACATACATCAGACCTGATAGTGGAAAAATTATTCGCCAAAAATGAGAGCGGTTTTAACTTTCACGAGCGGTAAAATAATCGACTAATTCCCAGTAAACGGTTATAGGCGACCTAACTAAGGCTGCTTGCACAAGGGGGGAACAATCTACTTAATAACCAGTAACAGCAACACTGATATCAACTCTATTCAGCCGGATAAGAAATACCTCCTTGTTTAGGGCCGTATTGTCTGGCTAAACAGAAAATAAAAGGAAATTGGAGCTTTAATTAACAATAAATTAAGGAGGTTATTTACAGAGACGTTAACGAGAAGCAGCGACTAACTGGGTTGCTCATTAGCCTGATATTAATTGTGTATCAGCGGAATGTCGCAGAAACGAACCTTTGTCTACAGCGTTTTCGTCGTTACTCGCAAATTGGGTTTAATTAGGCGGTATTCGATTTTCCACTTGTTTATAAGCATATAAAGTATTTTGAACGTTTGTATACAATGAGCGTTATTTTTTGTTGTTAGAACTTGTAAGGAATCTTGATATTTGCAAGAAGGCCAATATCGGTTTGTTTAAGCATAGCGCGTTTAAATACACTTGCGCATTTAATTTGTTGGCTGTTGGAAAATTAGAGTAAATAAACCTAGCCCGGAAATCCAGTGCAATGTGTTTGAAATTTAAAAAGTTGTATAAATAATACTAACTAACAATAACACTATATAGCTAGTGCAATTATTTTATAAGGTGCAATTATGTGTTTTCATAACCATATTCCAAACCATAACTGTACTAAAAATGCAGCTTTTAGAAAATGTATTTATTTTAAGATGATTTAAATAATTGAGTAGGCTATGTATCCATATTTTAAGTAAAAAATCCCTTCATTACTGTACTGACAAACTCCCTTGATTTCTAAAATAAATATTGTGTAAATCCAAATAATTTACACAGATTAATCCAGCTACAAACTGAAACAGTCAATCTTCATTACAGATGATTAATAAGAGAGTGCATTTTTAACTGAAATGGAATGTAAATAACGTTTTATTGTCTGATAATTAAAAGTACTCCACATTTATTTCGGATATCCCGTTACTTAATGAGTGAGCTTTTAAAATGTAAACAATCGCGATGTTTTTGTTTGCGTTCCGGTCCTCTACTAGTTTTTAATGTGCGTTAATTAATATTCCCCTTTTATCTGTATTAAAAAGTTACGTTTTTGCTTTTTTCTCTGATTAAATTTCACGTATTTGGCGGTATTATGTTTGCTCCCGTGAGTACTCGAGTCCGGTTTATTTATTTGCCTTGTTTAGTTTTTATTTCGATTACCGATTGTTTATCCCTTTTTCTGCCAGAATTGTTTTGGTGTTGAAATATAGGGTGATTTTTAATTTACATTAACACTTAGAGTAGAGTACCCCTGTGGGTGTTAACGTGTACAAGTGACCGACTGATTCAAATATTCAAAAATATTGAAGTACAAAACTTCGCTGAAATCCACAAAAATAGTATTATCTAATAATAGTGTAAAAAATTGATTGTTTGTTTCAAATTAATAAAATATTTTGAAAATACATCACGAAATATACACGCAAAAGATGTGCAATGCCAATGAGCTTTTTATTGTATAGTGAAAAATGATTATTTCAATGTCTACAGAAATTAATAAAATAGGTCTAACTGATTTTAAAAAACATATTTTTCGTTATCTGACCATCTTATAACCTTAAGTTAGTTTCCGTCGAATTATATTAGAGCTCAATAAAGTCATAACATTTAATTTGCTATCGTACATTTTCTTTATTACTTCATAATCACGGGACACTCACAGTTTAAGTTAGGGGTGTGTGCTACCGGTATCTATAGCAATATGCAATCAAATAAGAAATAGAAATTCATTAATCGATTATGAAAAGAAACATGTATCACAAACTAACACAGCGGTTACGACAAAGGTGTGGCTTTACCAATTAAATCTCGTTCAATCTATATACGTGTTCCCGATAGATAAGGTAATTAGCCACATATCACAAACGTATTATAGAGACTGTAAAACATAGTGAAGATATCTCTCGGAGATAGGGAGATTGAAAGAGAGAACGGGCTCAGAAGTGATAAGCGGGTATATAGTAGAAGACAATTAGACCTCGTTAATTGGCTGATAAGACCTTGATCTGAGGTAACGGTTATAACGTGTGTAATATAATGCTGAGATAACTATGTAACAGTTGAAGGACAAACGACAATGTTACGGATATATCATCAGTCTTTATCTCCCATTTACAAATACTACATGAACATTGAACTACTGCAGTTCAAACCCCACCTTACGATGGTAGCCATATCATTTCTCATAGTCCCTTATTATTTTCTAATTCATACCATCACAGTTGATGTTGTATTACTTGGTTTAGTTTATAACAAGTCACACATCTAGTTACGGTACGGGAAGCCCGTAACTATTTTAGATCAGAAATCTTCGTCAGTGTATTGAACTAGGTTTATTTCAACATTTTGATTCAAATCGTACACGAATTTAGCAATGGAAATCAAGTTGGTTGATATTTGGCCTTTAGTTAGTGATAAGATGTTTAGGGTGTTCATATTTTGGATGTTTTACATATATTAACTACAAAACACCAGAATATAGGCATTGCCATATAGCTGAACATGATACGTGGTAGGTCCATCGAAGTAAAAGAAATGAAAACCAAAAAAGGAGACCAGGAGAGGAGAATTTTTCCGTATCGGAGAACTCTTAAACTAAAAGCTATACGATTAATCGCTATGGTTATCTTAGGATCATTTATTTTATAAACTACAAGTTCCTTATAGTCAGGTAAACTTTTAGGTTAGGTAATTACCTCACTTACTAAGGTTCTATGTACATTTCCGCATGAATTCATAATTTTCAAAGTGTTGTAACCGTCAACATTCCCTTACAATTATTCTCGTTGGTGTTGGTATCGATTCAACAAAGATTGTACGGACCAACCATCCAATGCGAGCAAACACAATCCACCGATGCTACGGTCCCCTGAGACTGGTCAACTGGTAGCGACTTAATTTGTCCCCTCTCCCTCCCCCCTCATCGGCCAAACACTAACCATCGTCCAGCGATCGGAATTTAACACCTTCCCAACAGTTCCGGTCGGAAATGCAAATCAAGGAGATCTGAATAACTAGGTTTACTTGACAATTTTTGTAACGGCGGTCACGTGATGGATGAATATTCAGGGAGTGTTGGACGAGGGGTGTAAAAATGAAAATTGTATAATAGGGAAGGCACGATTAAAGAAACTAATATGTATAAGAGTGGGAATACTGAAATGATTAAAAAATTTGTGTTAATCACAATATAGGCACTAAGTCACTGTGCAATACATTTGAGTTTGTACAAATTTCATAGACTACAGCTTAGTTAGGAATGCACCCATGTAAACTACTGCATTCAGTTTTGTTTCTCATATTTTATAATGTTTCAGGAGTTTACGTTGGTATTATTGGTAGTTTGGAATTTCGGTACTTTACCAGAATTATGTCTTTTATTTATTAAATGTATTTAACTTATACATAGTTTCATTATTTCGGACTTGGATCCACGGTCTAAGAGGCTTTACTTTATTAGAACAACTACAAGTAAAAACTAAAATTATTGACCTCTTTAAACCGATATTGGTCGTAGACTAATAAATCATTTCTTAATGAATAAAGCCTTGGTTTAAGATATAAAACTCGATCTACCTAATTAAACTCAATTTGCGAGTAACGACGAAAACGCTGTAGACAAAGGTTCGTTTCTGCGACATTCCGCTGATACACAATTAATATCAGGCTAATGAGCAACCCAGTTAGTCGCTGCTTCTCGTTAACGTCTCTGTAAATAACCTCCTTAATTTATTGTTAATTAAAGCTCCAATTTCCTTTTATTTTCTGTTTAGCCAGACAATATGGCCCTAAACAAGGAGGTATTTCTTATCCGGCTGAATAGAGTTGATATCAGTTAAGCTAATTAATAAGATTGTTTAACGTTCTGCTTATTATTCTGAGCCAAGTCGCCGTTCAATACCTTACAAGGTAATCACTTGATGGAATTAATTGAGTTTGACCTATTACGAACTTTGCATTGCTTGTTGGTATTTGATTTTATCCAATTATAAATGTTTGTCTGATATCCCAATTGTTTAAGTAATTAAACTCTTGATAGTTAATACTTTAAAGGATTGTTGTCTATAATTTTCCTTCGCATTAAATATCCTGAACTTGATCAATTTTGCGAAATTTATTTTGATTTGTTAAGCGTAAATTATCAGATTTCATTTTATGAAAATCTTATGTGTTTTATTATGAGCATCGAAAGTGTTTTATTTAGTGGTGAAGCAGTTATTACCTTATCACTGATATGAGATAGTGACGTAATGGTGGTATTTTTACCTACAGATAAATATAAGTGTAGATTAGAGTGAGATTCCTTGTGTAGCTTTGTTTCTGACTAAGACTATCTGTTTAATTGTGATAACATTGATTTAACACCG